CTGGCCTCCTCAATGGCTTTTCTCTGGTGCTCTTCTTTCCCTTCACGCGAACAGGCTTGAAAAGCTCTTGCCTCTCTAAGAAACTCATGCGACATTGCGGCTTCAACTGCACTCACCACATGATGCTGCCAGTATCATCTATCGGTGATCTTGTTGATTTTCCCACAGGCTGTCTAAACTCAGCGGAGATCCAAATCTAATCCATTAGAGCTTAACTAGCTCCGTATAGAGACTTTGCCTTTCTTGTTCTTTGTGATTCTTATAGAGATAATCTTCAATTTTGCATGGCCATAGCCTCTATCTTGCGAACTCGCCCCAAATTCATCAGCATGGGCTCTAATACCGGTTGTTTAGGATTGACAATCCTATATTCCATCTCCACAGCCTACATATCAAACACGGGCTCATAGGATGGTCACAGTCACAAGGAAGAAGAAGAACACATGAGATTTATTTGGTTCAGTAGATCATGTTTGTCTCATATCCATGGGCAACAAGTACAAGAAATTCACTATATATGAGGAACAAAATTACAAAAAGGTTGACTAATCTCTCATCTCAAGCTCACATGGACGTACATAGCCACGATCTCATATTCTATCTAAAACCTCAAGAGGTCCTCTCATATAAGAGAAACCTATATAGTGTTATGACAAGAAATCCTAGCACAAACTTGGCCAAGCGACTCACCAGAGGAATCTAAATAGATATAAGACATATCTCAACATTGCCAAGGTTATACTAAATATCAAGATTATGTTAATAGCAATAGATGAGATGTCTAATGTAACTAAATTGAGAATGACGGTCCAAATGTATTTCAATAGTACAAAAGTTCTGGTGGGCTATTCTTCTATCGTGTAAATATAAAGCAAGTGTCAAAAATGTGGATTTATCTTGCTACTTAGCCTACTAGATTTTGTTAAAAGGCTTTCTATTTCTAATCATTTCCTTGGCCAGGAACGTGGAACCAATAATGGAGTGTCGTTGGCAGTCTTATTGTAATTCATGAAATTAATCAACCTTTTCTCACATCCCTTCGATGTAAAATATGCTCTACGAGTGGATGTTTTAAAGGAAAGACTGACATTGTTTTGATTATGCACAGAGAAGGAACATGATTCAAATTCTCAATTTTGTCCTCTTTCTTTTATGCTCCTACTCCCTGCTGATGCTGGTATGAACAAATCATAGCATGGCTAGCCTCTTCACATCCTCCCTTGTGCTATTTCCTCCTATTTATGCTCACTCTCCTAATAATATTTAGCGAACACAACATATGTGGATTTGTGGCTAAAGATCGAGGAGGAACCTGATCTATATATTGAGAAATCACATCGCTTCCGGTGTTAAGAGTTCAAAAGGGAATCTCTTACCTGCCTAGAACACTAAGACTAATGTGATGATCAAAAGATTAGTAAATCTCTTTCACGGAAGTAGCCAGCAGGCAACCCAGACTATTTTAGCTTGTAAGGATTTCGCATCTCGTGGACCAGATTTTTACCTATTACTTAGGAAATTAAACTGAACGTGCCATTGCTAGCAAAAGTGAGTGTTAGTGAGCAATGAGCTCCGGCACCACTTTGACGTTCGCTGTAGCCGCCTATGTTGCCTTCAACCTAATAAAGGATGGGCCTGAATTGGGATTTCCGTTAAACTCGTGTCCCAGTTCCATGCATACCCTGGTTTGCTAATTCGACAAGGTTGTCCACTCACAGGGATTCAAGATTGATAGGGAAGATCAAGAAGTGATTCAGTGCATTGATAGTGTCAAATGACACTTTGCCTCTCAATTTTTGACCAAACTATTTGAATCCTCTGCATTACTTTCCTTGAATATAGACTGCGCTAAGGATGATATTTATGTCTCTCAACAGAAATATGAATTAGAATTACAACCAGAGACAGGTCTACCTGGCTATCATCCCATTTTTAAACCCATGGGTCTAAAATGTTAGCTCTCAAAATTCACCTTAGACAGCTCGTTTTATGATCATGGTCAATGACGACGACTGGTTGGGAGCTTATTTACATAAAGATGACTCGACCTCACATGGCATATGACTAAATTACAAGATTGGTATTTGAAACAGTTCCTATTTACCACTTTGGTATTTAAAAACGTTCCGACAATGTCTTTTTGGTATTTAAAGTGCGTAAAAATGGCGATTAGGTAAAAAACTCATCACTGTTCATTTTTTCCTGCGAGAACTATATGAAAAATTTCTTTAGCCACCTGACCTCTTAAATTTATTGTTTTTTACACCCTTCTTCTTCTTCTTCAACTTTCTCAAACTCAAATTTAATATAGACTATAAATTTAAATGTGTAGGAAATATATACAAGTTTAATATCAACTAAATTAACTCTAAGTAGAAAAATTCAAGAAATTATGTGCAGTCCCCCTGCTTATTCCAAAAACTTTCCAAGGCCCACCTCATGGTATCCAAGTTGAAAGAGATAAATTAAACAATTATGGTTGTCCCCTATTGTGATATACTATTAAACTAAAATCAGAATTATCTGCAAAAAACTATGGAAGAGTAGTTTATGAATATCTACGTGGTGAGCTTGATCTTACCAAGGATGATGAAAACATGAACTCACAACCTTTTATGCTTGGCGAGACCATTTCTTATTTTGTGCTCAAGCAATTTTTTTAAGCACAAGCCGAAACAGGTGAAATCAATGGTCGTTAATTACCTGAATGCAACTACCAGTAAACGTGAAGAGATGATCAAAAGGGGTGTATTTGTTATGCGCAGCATAATTTCAGCAGAGTTTTTGGTGCACAATGAGAGAGAAAGATCAATAAGAATTTCCGTCTTACCAAGGAAACAAGAATCTGAAGCGAATATCTCAACAAAGTGAGATATCAGCTCTTCCTCTCATCAGTTCTAGGACTGACTTGTCGAGGGACCCTAATAAACTATTACAATGACCACAAACAGCAATCACACAAGTTTTACGTGGTTCGGCAAATTGCCTACGTCCACGGGGCAAGGAGGGGGGAGATCTACTATTAGAGGGAATACAATCACTCAAAATCTCACAAATAAACCCTCAATCTAATCTCTCAATTCTTCTCTCAAAATCGGCACAAGAGACTGCACAAAACTCCTCTCATAAGTCGGCGGCGGCTCTGCGTTCTCCCCTTGCACTTACACGCGTCTGCGTTTTTCTTCTTTTCTCCGGGCACCTGCTCTCTGCAGGCGCCAATGATTTCCCCTGCTCAATTGCACCGAAACCTAGGTTACGAATCTCAGCTATATATATAGCTGAGATGCCGAAATTAATCGAGTGGGCCTAGCCACACGAAATCTCTTCACATGGCTTCTTTTCACGCGGTTTTCACCCTGCGTGGCCCCCACGAGCTCTTTTGCATTCACAAGAGTTCTTTTCACGTGGTTTTCATCACGCGCCCAAGAGCCCATGTAGCCCCTGTTGTGCGCGGCGGAAGCTTTCTTGAGCAACATGAACAATAACTCGATCTAACCACAACTAATATGCAAACACAACCACAGCAAGAACAAACAATTTTACGTGGTTCAACAAGTTGCCTACGTCCACGGGGCAAGGAGGGGGGAGTTCTTACTATTAGAAATCAGAGAATACAAGTAGAGTTACAAATCTCTCAGATCAAATCCTAAAACAAAGCTCTTGATCTCTCACAACTCTCCCACAATTGGATGCAACAATTCTCTCTTCAAGGCTGCTCAAATTCGTCCTTGCATCAACCCTAAACAATCAGGTTCTGAGTTATATACAACTCAGAAACGAAACGGGTCAAAAACCGAAAGGCCCAGCCCAGATCATCGACGGTCGACCGCGCAGGTCTCACGGTCGACCACGGCGGTCGACCAAATCTCAGTCCCGAGAGCAAAAACACTTACAGTCATCCGCGGTCGACCGTGGCGGTCGACCGCCAGCAGTTTCGAATCCTGGTACCCTTTGTGCACGTTCGCGGTCGACCGCCAGTCTGCCTGGCAGTTTTCTTTACTGTTTTCCTGTAATTCTTCAGCCCCCACCTCGTCTCAATCCAACAGTATTTGCTAGAGGACTGGAAGTTCCCATCGTGATGCATAACTATTTAAATGTAGGATTTACCGAAAATACCAATTTGGCTCGTTATTGCTGCGACAATGGCCTACTTCTTCACATCCACCGTGCAATGCATGCAATTTTGATAGATAGAAAATCATGGTTTTCATTTTCGTTTACTAGCTAAAGCATCATGTACGTCTAGTGAAGATCATATTCACTTTGGTATAGTAGCAGGTAAATTGGTAGGGGAACGTGAGATGACTTCAGGTTTTTTTTTATTTACTACGTGATGATTATATTTGAAAAAGACTGAAGTATCGATATTTTTCACTCAAGATTGGGTTTCTACGCCAGATGTTATTCCCGTGGCTTCAGAAGGTATTAATATTTGGCATATGCCTGCCCGAACTTAAATCTTCGGAGATTATTCCTTACGACAGTTTGGTAGAGGAACTTTAGGACGCCCTTAGAAAATGCATCGGGTGCGATAGCTAATCGGACAGCTAAAAATTAAGCATGTGTAAGGGACATGATCTTGCTGGTGAAGGCAATGAGATTATCCGTGAAGCTGTCAAACGGAGCCTGGTATTACCCTCTTCTTGTGAAATATGGAAGGAGACCAAAATCGAGTTTGAACCGGTAGATATATAGATAAACATAAAGTATAAGAACTAAGCACGCATAATTCAGTAATTTCTGTTTGTTCGCTTAAGTTATTGCAATTAAACTTGGCCCCATCCTTTACCTGAAAAAAAAAAGGAATGAGCCAAATAAGGAATGACCATCCTATATACATACTATGTGTCTGCGTACTCATCCTACATACTCGTCTATTAACTAACTCAATCACAAGGCTTCAACTATATATTAGGATCAAGAATCGCAGCAATTCAGCAGATAATTAAAACGCGCGAACAAAATAAACGCTGTAACAGGAGAAAGAAGCGTTGGCAGACCTTGACCTGCTGGGTAAGAGTTCGACGAAAGCGAAGTTAGCTGCATTTCTGCGTGGATACTGCAGGTCCCAAACCTCCATGGCCTCTTTATTCTCACCTCCCACTGAAGAAAATGGGGGAGAAAAGGAAGAGAGAGAGAGAGAGAGAGAGAGAGAGAGAGAGAGAGAAGAACAAATGAAGGTATTGCGGTTTTCGTCGGCCTCCCAAACTTGAGTTAGAGAGGATCGAGACAACTGGACGTAGTAAGTGGACTTTACTGTGTCGTCCTTTGTCATTCACCGCCTCACGCTTTTCTGGGGGGGATAGAAGTCGAGTTTTTATTCCTTTCGAGGAATCAAAAGTCGAGTTTGTGGCCAAAAAGTCGAGTTATAGTGGTTCTCCGACGCCCCGCCGAACTGTAAAGTCGAGACTTTTAAAGGTTTTTTTTTTTTGGTTAGCCCCCCCGGATCTTTTAGTATTTTGATAGGGTTGTTCTAGATATTAGTCACTCAAATCCTCAATGATCCCATATTAGTCCCTTACATCTCAATAATTGTTAATTAGTCACTCGAATCCTATAGGGTCTTGCAATTTGGTCCCTCGACGGCCAAAACATCCCTTAGGTTATGATTTCTTTCTTAAGACACATCTTGAGAAAAAGGGCCATTTGCATTTTGGTACTCTATAGCTTACGCTTAACTTCAATATCAAAGGTTTTTTTTGGCACTTTAATATCCTAAAATCTACAATATTTTTAACTCTAATACTTTATGATTTTCTCCAATACTTTTGCTAGGACAAAGTTTATACCTTTGTCACTATGATCCCCCAAGTTTTGTTATTGACACTTTGATACCCCCAAACTTTAGGATATCAAAGTTGAAAATTATGTAAACTTTAAGGGATCAAAATTAAAATTTTGGGACCTTTGGGGTATTGAAGTTTAAAAAAAAATGTGTAAACTTTGGGGTATCTAATTGTCAAAAAAGTTTGGGTATCAAAGTGAAAAAAAGAGGTGTAATATTTCGAGTATCAAAATATCAAAAATTTTGAGGTATCAAAGTTTTAAAAGGTGCGAACTTTAGAGTGTCAAATTGCAAATAATCCTTAAAAACAACACCTTATGGTATTTTGATCATATATTGACGGACCAAATTGCAATAACACAAAGATTTGAGGGACCAATGAGCAATTTTATGAATTTGAGAGACTAATATGAAATTATTAAAGATTTGATGAACTAATATCTAAATATTAGCTCCTGTAATTAGGGCTGAGCACAGTTTGGTTCGGGTCGGTTTTTATAGAATTTTGAATAACCGAACCGAACCATATATAATTCAAAACCGAACCGAACTGTTGCAAGTCGGTTCGGTGCGGTTCGGTTCGGTTTGTTCGGTTCTAACTTCATTTTCAGAATGACTTAAACAGTAGACTTGCTAAATGTTAAATCAAATAGAATATATCATGACGGGTAAGAGATCCCATGAATATTAAATAGTAGTATTTCAAGGGTTGCCGGCTTAATTTGGAAAATTAAGAGGGGAAAAAGGAACAAAATCATCATCCATGAAAATATATATACCACAAAACAAATTAAGGATCGTTATCAAAGCACAAACTCAGAAATCATAAGAGAATAGGAGTGCATAAATGAACAGAAAACTGATAGGCCGATATCTCAACTTACTAGCTGTTGTATCCAAAGAAATAAATCAAAATTAATGAATAATCGTAGTTAGAAGCGTGAAGAAGAGCAAAATATAAAGTTTATACCTCGGCGACGGCGACGGGTGCGGGTGACCCCTCTCCCCCTCCCCCAAAGCCGGAGACAGATCCTGAGCCTGTGGAGATGTTTCGGCCTCGGCCATGAAGACTGCAGAAGTGAGGAAGAGGAAGAGGAAATGAGAGAGGCGGACCGTGGAACTGAGGAGTGAGAGAGAGTGAGAGAGAGGAACTGAGGATGCGGTTGGGAAAGAGGGAAGGGAAGTTTAGGTGTTTAGGGTTTGAGAGTCTGAGACTTTATCTTTAGGGACGGGTCGGGTTTGAGCAGAATGGGTATTTAGACCATAGGGTATTCGGTCGGTTCGGGTTGAAAAGTTTTCAACCTGACCCGAACCACCATACTCTTAAAACCGATTTTTTCGGGTCGGGTCGATCGGTTTTTTCGGTTTGGACCGAACCGTGCTCAGCCCTCCCTGTAATCATCAGAATTGCTATTACGTCTCCAAAATATCTAAATATTTTAAAATAAATCCCTCTAGTTAGTTGCAATTAGAATGGGAAGAGAATACTCCATGAGCTTTTCTAGTGGTTAGACATGTATATACCCCTAGTGTGTAATGACCATGAATTTTAATACTATTTAAAATAAATTTTTTGATATTTTAAAATATTTAATTATTATTTTTAAAAGAGTATTTATATTTTTCTTGAATTTTTACAATTTTCTATGATTTAAATTCTAAGTTTAATATTTATTTAAATGATTTCAATATTTATAAATTTATTCAGTGTAGTAAAAATTTTTGGAATTTATCTGTTGAGTTACTGATACTGTTACATGTCATTTTGAATAATATGTTGTATTATTACGTATATTTTTGTATAATACATTGTATTATTATTACGTATTATTTTGTATAATTAGTTGTATTATTTCTACTGTTGCATATTATCGGTTGTATTAGTACAACTTGTACGTTTTATCACCTAGATAATTATTCCATAATTATTTGATTTTAAGAATAAGAAATTGTATGTTTTATTAATTATTCTTGTTTAATTGTACAGTTTATAGTATTATTTCTTCAGTTTCATATCAATCGTTGTATTAGCACAACATTATTTTTCTTGGTGGATAGTTACCTGCTATATGAGTAAATATCATTAGTCATCTTCTATTCTTAATTAGTTACTAATAACTACCAGACGCTTTATTTATACTATAGTTATAATTATAATATAGTTATATATATATCTATAGTATATATATATATACTATATATATAGTTACTATATATATATAGTATTATATATCTATTATATATATATATATATATATATATATATTATATTAATAAGTATATATATATATTATATATATAGTAATATATATATATATATATATATATATATTATATATTATTATATATATATATCTTAGTATATATTGATATTATGATATTATTATATATATATATATATATATATATACGGTATATATTATATTATTCTCCCGCTCGCCTTCTTTTCTTCTCCTTCCTACGAAAGCCGCCCACCGCCATCACTATTTCTCGGTTCTCCTCGTCCTCTGCTGGCGCCTGGAGCGCGCGCCCTGTTTCTCTCCCCCTCCTTGTGACCCCGCCCGAGCCGACCAGGCCCAGTCACCCGCGCCCCTCCTCCTGAACTCTGTGTCGACCCATCGCTCTCGCCCGTCAATCGCGCTCCTCCCTTGGCCCCAACGCCGCCGAAGCCCACCCTCTTCACACATCTCGCCGCACCCGACCCTGCAGACCCTCTCCACCAAGCGCCTCAGCAACTCGTCGCGTCTGCGCAGCGAACCTCGACAGCCTGCCTCACGCCCGTCACCAGCGCAGATCTACCAGGTCGCGCGCCTGTAGCCGAGATGCCCCCCGACGCCACCCGCTAGCCTGTCCGCCTCCGAGTCAGCGCCCCGCTCAGCTCTTGTCCAACGCTCCTCTTCTCGTAGCCGATCTCGTCCACCGGACCCGCGCCCGCTGGCAGCCCAGTCGGCAGACGGAGCCAAACGCCTGCCTGCCTTGCAACCGCATGTCTGGCCTCGTCGGTGCCCGAGTGCGCGACGTCGTCGGCGATCCCTCCCGCTGACGGCAGCCCCATAGCCCCGTCGAACTCCCTGCAATCAGCCCCTGCAGTCATCGTCGCTGTTCAGATCCATCGCCGTCGCCTCATCGGCGGGCCGTAGCTTCGCGCGTCAGCGTCGATTCATTCGACGAAAACCCTGAGGCAAGATCCCGATGTTCTTTGACTCGTATTTCCAATTTTTAGATATATTATGAATTAATGTTTCGATTAGACTGTGATTTGATTATGCTACAGTGTGAAGATTTTGACAACTGCGTGGGTTTGTTGATGGTTGATATTAATAATGATATTAGGATAAGTCATTTAAAGGAATAATTATTTTGTGTAAAAGTGGTTATTTTGAGATGTTTTAGAATTATTATGATGAGAAAATAGATTATTTGGAAAATGAGTTGATTTTGAATAATTATTAAAATAGATGATTTAAAATAATTTATTTTGGAAAAACGGGTTATTTTTGAATTGTTAAACTATATTGAGAAAAGATTATTATGAATTAAAAGAATTTATTTCGGTAGTGGAATCATTTCTGGATAATTATATTAATTAAAAAGAATTTATTTGAGAATAGAATCATTTGAGAAAAATTATGATAATTTTAAAAGAAATTATTTTAGAAAAGGAAATATTTCTAAATTATGTAGACTCTGTTTATGATTTATAATTCTTAATCTTGATTATCTGATATGCTACGATATTATTACACATGATTAGTTACATTGATTGTTCCTGGCTGTGTTTGAGAACCTTAGTAGTTCATAACTTAGTGGCCTTGTGAGTCATGAACAGACCTAGTGACATGTGTGGGCGTGTTTATGCGGTGAACCAGAGTTTTAATAAGGATTATGATCGTTGATTTAGAAAGAATGAGAAGAGTTGGGGTGGGAAGTCATTATTCATGTGCTTAGATGCGACTGGGGTTGGTTGGTTGAGTCACAGTGGATCGGTGTCGCCACTGGGGTTGGTTGGTTGAGTCACAGTGGATCGGTGTCGCCACTGGGGCTGATTGGTTGGGTCAAAGTAGATCGGTGTCGCTACTTTGATTCATGAATCTATTTGATTGGATGCACATGGGGGATATGCGAACAGTCAGTTATCCGATGATATGAGCGTTGACTCTGCGTGAGATATGAACCGGTGACATGTTATAGGATGGTTAGTTACATGACTTGTTACCAATGGATCGGTGTCGCCACTGGGGTTGGTTGGTTTGTTGGATCAAAGTGAATCGGCGTCGTCACTTTGGTTAGGATTTATGGATTCTTGTGAGATGTAGGTCAGTTATATTTATTCTCATACCTAAATCGGGATTAATATTTAATTATCTACAATTCAAGATATATGGTATATACATAAGGGTTTCCTTGTTTGGATTATTTCGCTCGACGTACTACGTCTCGAGTTGTAGATTTTTAAATACTAATTCCATTTAGTGGTATGACCTTGTTATGTGGATGATTATAGGAT